GTGTGTGTGTGTGTGTGTGTGTGTGTGTGTGTGTGTGTGTGTGTGCGCTCATCATTCACACTCTGACACCTGATAAAGAATCTCCAGGAGGAAACTGCTGCATAAACACGACGTTAGAGAAGAAGCTTCAACATTTAGTTTCTGAAAAAGAAAACTAAATCTCTTGCAACCGACCTCGACTGCAGCTCCGCTCGGTGAGAACAGACCGGACGGGAACAGACCGGACGGGAACAGACCGGACGGGAACAGACCGTGTTTGTTTCTCTGTGGCCTGAATTTACCGGCTGCTAAATAAAACATCGTGATAAATTAAAGATGGGACTTTCGGCCTGGAGCGAGCAGATGCTGAGTGTCTCTGCTCTTTGGCCTCCAGCTACACTCGCCCTCACTCTGCTGCTCACACACACGTGTCCTGTACCACAGGTGGAAACGGGAAAATATCAGTGACGTACGTTCACACCTCGCTCGCTCTCTCTCTCACTCTCTCTCTCTCTGCGGAAATCTCAGAAAAATGCTTGAGGAGACAAAACCAGATGATCACAAGCTCAAAAACTAGACATCAGGTTCAGACACATTCCTCTTTGTTGTATTGACAGTAGCTAAATTTATATGTTCGGAGCGAGTCTATTTCCTGGAAGTCCCTGGACACGTTCAGGAAAAATATAATTCTCTGCTCAGCACTTTTCTGCAGGTGGTCCGGTAATTAAAACGCCAAGTCACAGCTCAGCAGAAGACGAATGACACCCTGAAGAGAGACGAGTGGAGAGAGGTGAAGGAAGTTCACTTGTTAACTTTCAATTCAGTTTTCATACATTTAAACTTCACAAGTAGTGGATGGAAATATTTAAAAAGACGGGAGGATAACTTCATACAGCCCTGTCCAAAACCAGAGGACGAGGACAGGGTGACAGGTGGACGTGCCGAGTGAAGGACAGAATAAGACGAGAGAGAGACAGTAGAAAGACGGAGGGAATAAATAAACGAGCAGCAAAAGTGTTGGAGACTCGGGGAGGCAGACGAGGATGACAGGATAATTACAGATTCATGGATTCGTTTGACCGGTGACAGCCGGAGCAGCTGCGTCTGGTCAGAGGAGCTGAATAATGAATCAGGAGGCAGCTCCGGTTTCAGCCTCGTACACAAACATCACCGACATCACACGGAGCCGCAGCAATTACCCACAGACACAGAGGGAAGGACAGGTGCGGAGAACGTCAAGGCGAACAACGGGAGGCGTCGCCAGATGTTGGAGCGGGAGACAGAGTCGTGCACGGACTCTGAGGGTTCAGGGGCCAGAATAAAGAAGGAGGCACCTGTTCACCAAACACATCAACACAACACCAGGGTAACTCCCATCGACTGGAAATAAGACTCCTGAGACCTGCGTTCTTACTCTGACCAGCAGGGGGCGACTGACAATCTCTAGTTTCAAGTCTTCTGATGGTACCACTGGGGCACCGACACCGTTTGACTGACAGCCAGTAGCGGCCAATGGGTGCAGGTGGAAGGTGTGGGTGGGCGTGCACTGACCTCGAGTTCGACCAAATGTCAAACTGAGCTCACAAACCGACAGCTGACGTCTCGGTGGTTCGATACCGGACTCACAAAGGGATGAGACCCTGGACACGAGCAGCCGAACCTGAGAGGAGCTTCGGGCAGGTCGTGTGTTTTCTGTGCAGCAGGGAGCCGCCATGTTGCATCAGGCGGCGTCTGGTGAGAGTAGAGATGAAGGGGATGCTGGGAGTTTATCTCTAATCCGTCAAAAGGTCAAAAACTAAAACATGAAATCTGAAGCTGGTGTTGATCCGAAAATGATCACGTGATCAGTGACCTCAGAAATCTCTGCGTCCCATTGGACGATGGACGAGACCTGAGGTTCACATAGATCATAGAAATGATGTCACCATGATGTCACAATGAGGTGTAGTGAGGTAATAACTTTAGATTAGAGACACGAGCTACAGTTTACTGAATTCATTCGCCGTCATGAGCTATAAAAGAAATGATGATGATAAAATGCCCGATATTATATTATTCATATTTTCCAATTTCTATTTTCGTTGCTTTTAACGACTGAACTTGTTCCAAAAAGCTCGGAGCTCCACAGGTCGAGTCGCAGGTTTGTTGGGTTCACAGTTAATCTGTAAAACAGCCGGACAGACGTGGGAGATAAAGTCCAGAGTGAAATGGTTTTGTCGTCAGTGAAGTCGCAGCTTGATGGTTTTAATTAGTTTGATCTGCTGCCGAAACAACACATGAAGCACAGAGACGTGAAAGCTTTAAACTCGTCATCACTTTGTTCTTCACTCAGGATGAAAGAAGCGACAGCGGCTCGAGCTGCTGCTCAGACACTTTCTGTTTGTCGCTGGTTTGGGTTTTTTAATTGAGCCGCTCTATTTTGAGACTTCACAGCAACCGCAAACTTTGGCCGGGCGTGAATTATCAAGCTGAAGAAGTGGGTCAGATAAACACTCGTCTGATTTTAATCACGGACGGTTTCCTGCCGGACGTCTGTCTGAGAACCGATGATTCGAAAAAGACAAAGGGGAGACGGAGGAGGAGGAGTTTAACTCCTCTAACACGTTGTATATAAAATCTATGATCAATAAGAGCTGACGGCAGAAAACAAGGAACAAGATCCTTCAGGAATAATGAGGAATAATGAGGAATAATGAGGTTTCAAGTTTTTTAAATGAAAGTAAAAGATACGTAAATATGAAAATATTCAGAAATGTGCAGATGACTCATGTCACCGTTTATATTCTGTGTTATTTAATAATTTCTTCAGTCGGTAGTAGTATTTTTAGAAATACAAAATAAATAGGAAGGAGAAATAGAACACTCACAGTATTTGTCAGGTGTACTCACATTAATCGTCATGGTTTCCAACGTGACCTCGGTGAGCGACGGCTGCTCAGGAACGTTGTTCTTCTTCTTCAGGTTCCTGCAGAGAAACATTAGTTTGTTCAGTTCAATCTGAACGATTGTGATGAACTCATTAAAGCATCGTTAGAAAATATACAACTACTCTGAAACAGCTCGTTCTGCGTGACCCTCTTTATTTTTAGCTCCTCATACAAATACTTTTCTACTTTTGCTCAAGAAAAATTTCGAATTTTCCCTGTTTTTAAATTTTCTGAGCAAATGTTTCACCACTGTTGATTAAACTGGTTTATTTCAGCTGTAATAATTAATTCAGCCGGAAAAAACGTTTCTGATAATAATAATAATAGATTCAGGATTAGACAACAACTACACATTAAATCAATGAATCACTCAAACCATCAGCAGATAATTGAATCTGAGGTCAAATCAAATCCTCGAACTCTCGAACTGTTCGATGACACAACAGGAAGTGAAGAAACAAGCCGCACATGAAAGAAACAAACCTGTAAACAAACAAACAGCGTCTCCAGTTTCTGTCTCTCATCCTGAGAACTGTTTGTAAACACCTTCTGGTTCTGACGAGCTCCACGTGCGCTTCGTGGTTCAGTCGGCGGCCATCTTGTCTTCATCAGTGCCACCTGGTCAGGTGAGGGGTGTTTGATTCACGTCCCTCTGGCAGACACCCGGGCGGAGCTTCACACGGGTTGAACTATAAATGGTTTGGTTTAAAACTTATACAAAGAGGTTTGTGTTGTTGTTATTCAACAGACCCTCATGGATTTGATTTAGATTTTGTTTAATGATTTATGTGTTAAACATATTATTTCTAGTGACGAATGAAATCTAACTAAAGACTGTTTATTCATTTATGTCTCAAAACGACGTTTGGGAAACTCTGAATTATTTATTTATTCTTCAAATAATTTTAATTTTAACTCAACGTCCAACGTGCACAAACAAAACGTCCATCGTAGGTAAAGACAGAATATGAAAATACAACCTGGTCACGATGGACAGAAATGAGTCTTTTAAAACCAGTGAGATGATAAAGAGCATGAAAATAAAAGACTTCACAAAAGGTTCTTTGGACAAATAATGAAGAGAATAAAATATTCCTGCTCCGCTGTCTTTCAGAGGTCTGTTGGATGAAATCACTCAGAGCAGAGGAGGGTCTCACTCTGGGGTAAATTTAATCAGACGTCTCTTCAGAGCCTGACCCGTCCCTCCTCTGTCTTCTTCACCCCTTCATTTACCTGCCCATCTAGGCCAGAGCGAAAAAAAAAATGTGTTACCATGGCAACCCCATCCTCCAAGAGTGGGTCAGAGCTCGGAGAAATCAGCTCGATGCAGCCTCGGCGTGGAGCTCGTCCAGCAGACGCTCTGCCAGGACGCCACAGTGACCCCGAGGCCCACTTTCATGCTCCCGCACCAGAGGCGACGTCAGGACCCCGGCCAGATTTCTTTTGATTTATTTATTTATTTAGCCTGATGAAGGTTTTAAAATAACTGAATTTAAATCAGGCAGAGCAGCAGAGGAGAGAACCAGACCGTTACTTTAGTAAAATACTGAGGTACCAGTACCTGACCTGTGTACTTATAAGCTCCATTACCATTCATAGTATTTTTCTATAACGTTCATTAAAATGAGAAAAGTCTTCTATAATTTATCTTCATTGTTCTTCTAATCTCTCTTAATAATCATAATACATAATATAATCATATTAATAAGCACCTGAATACTTCACAACACTGGATATTTAACGATTACCTGAATCTTTTTATTAAACTATTTAGAAACTCAATTTGAATTTATGATTATTGTATATTTGTATTTGTGCTCCCTGAATTAACAAGTTGTCTAAAATAAAAATACTCAAAAAAGAAGTACATTAAATATCATAATCGAGTAAATATGTTTCTAAAGAAATTGACAAAACGTAATATGTTAGATTATTAACATATCTCAACAGATCAATAAGAGTACTTTTACTGTGAATACTTGAATACATGCTGGTAATGTTTACTTCATTAAAGCCTAAAGAAAACTTTTTTATAATTATGTGTCTCAGTAAATATACAGAACAACAAATTCATTTTAAATGTAGGAAAATCTGTTTAATATGAAATTATTTATTCAACATATAAAAGACGCACAAGTGATGACACATAAAACTAACGAACCCTGTTTGATATAAAAAGTTCTGTATTGACGATATATTTGTTTCTGTCACGACGTCTTGAAATAATAAGTGCAAAATGTTTTTTCACACCCAGCGACAACACATGGTCTCAATCATCCAGTTTAGAAGCTCGATGTAAACGTCACAATCATTCATTCAGCTCACGGCCGGTTCTCGATGATTCGTTTGAAAATCCGTTGATTTAATGGAAACTTAAGCGTAAACTTTTCAGAAACAACAGACGTGTGAAGGTTCGGAGTTAAAGTCCACTTAGGACAGTCACTGTTTTCCAGAGTCGTCCTCTGCAGTTAGATTTTACATTTTTTTAATGTTTTCATGTATAAAACTTATTATCACAGGTTTAATTTATCAAACGTCCAAATGTTGCAAACACCCTCGTTGTGCAAATCCAGCGTTAGAAGAGTTGATGGAGTTTGTTCTGATTAAAACATGAGACTGAAGGCACATCGAGAGGTGAGTGTACAGAACCTCACACAGCGTGAGAAGCTCCGTGCTACATGACGGCAACCTGGGGATTTTCACCATTTCACAACTCCCATGAACCCTTCTGTCGATCCCTGACTCGGAGCGCCCTCTGATGGCCACAGTCGTCCATGAGTTACAGTGCTGCCCTCGTCACAGTGAACCTTCTCACCACGACTGCATGGGTATGAATCAAAGTGCACGTGATTATAAAACTCTCCAAACATCCCTGAAGCTAAAACGTCCGTCCGGCGTTGCTAATTAAGGCGTCTCCGCTGGGACCGTGGCTCGTTAATTAAAAAAAAAAAAACCCCACCACTGTCTGGGGCCGTCGTGGAGGATAATTAAAATTATTAAAGAGAGGTGGGGCGGAGGATCGGCTTCAGTCCCGTGAGTCCACGTCTCACAGCCGCTGTGATAACGTTATCGCTCAGACACACACCTTTGAACCGCTCTGGCTCTTCGCTGATTAGGAAATCCAGTCGTCTAATTGCTCTTCATCAGCGGCGCCTCGCAGACATCAGAGCGCTGTGGTGACGCAGACACACTTTGGACTTGACATTGACGAGCCCGACTGATCCTGGGTCAGGGGGGAGAGGTTACAGTAAAGGTCAGAGGTCACAGGCAGGCGGAGCAGCTGCGGGTTTACAGAGCGACGCAGACGCAGGGGTGTTTGAGGCAGACGGGGAGGATGCCCTTGTTGATCTGGTGAAACTCCACCAGCTGCAGGAGGTCGATGAACAGGGTCAGGCCGTCGTCCATGGTGAAGTACTTCCTGCCTCCGTCCTCGAACTGCAGAGAGAATCACAGAATCACGGTGAGGCTGCATCCATCACAGGGCCTGTCTATTTCCTGCAGGGGGGGGGGGGGGGGACTCACAGGGATCACCAGGTAGTGTTTGGTCTTCAGCTGGTAACACAGCGACAGGACGAAGCACTGAGCGTGTTGCTGACTCTCACGGACCAGGAACATCCTGCGGACACAAACACACGCGTGTCAACTCACAGCTCCGACACTGGGGAGCATCCGTCCCACAGATTAAAGATCCGTCGTCTGGTTCTTTGGTTCCGTTCATCGATTGTTGGCTTCTGGCCACGTATCCCAGACGCCCCTCCCCCTGCAAGGCCTGATGGGACACGGAGTCCCCCAGGGCCTAAACCTCCGACTGTCACTCACCCGTCCACCAGCCCCTGCTTCTCTATCAGCCTCTGAGTTTCTTTTCTTGAGACGCCGCCATGAAACCAGGGCTGGGTCCTGTGGATGGCTGCAGGCAGACAGAGACAGAACCACAGGAGCTGAAGTGAGTCAGGAGTCGAACAGCGTGACGTGAGGATTTAGTTCTTTAACAGAAATGCAGAATCAGGACTCTGCCTCCTCTCGACTTACAGGACGGCCTGGCAGCAGAGCTCAGGTTGGGGAGGCTGCACCTCAGAGCTTCTCTCCTCTGTCACAGAAGAAACAGAAGATGTCACGTCACTGATTTCTCGTTGTTTTGATTTCTCTGCTGACGTTGACCTTTTGTTAATTATTAAACTACCGAGTTAAACAGTTATTGCAGGTTTCTCTTCTGCGGCGTCTCGAGGGAGCGCTCCGAGCCAGTGACGTCGTTAACGCCGTCGCTTTAACAGGACCTGTGATTTTACACCGTCGAGAAGATATAAAATTATTTTTTATCTTTATGTTTAATGTGGAGCAACTCCTCTTTAAGATGAGTAAAGAAATAAAACAGAGATTTTTATTCTCCTTTCATTTTTTTAATGCTTTTTTTTCTCATTATGCATCTAAATCTCATCCAGTAAAAAATAAAAACACTTGTTTGAAACGGCTCCTTGTATATTTGGTCATAAAACAACTTGGACGATACAGTTTGTTCTGAGCTGAACGTTTTATCGTTCAAACTATAAAACTGAGGCTTCGACCAAAATAAAGTCAAACTCGGACGCTGAGGTCCCACAGCAGCTTCACAGCTCCGGTCTGAGGACGTGACGACGGCGCTGAAGAAAAAAGTCACATGGGTCAAAAACAGGAGCAGCCACACGACCTGACGACGTCACAGATTATAGTGACGTCGTCTTCAACTCCTCGTTCACTGGAGTTTATCTTGTTTTATCGACAAATAAAGATGTTGCAGTAAAATATTCTTATTCTAAATATCACATGAGGGTGTGTGTGTGTGTGTGTGTGTGTGTGTGTGTGTGTGTGTGTGTGTGTGTGTACAAAGTAACTCAACAATGCATAAATAGATTTTCACCAAACTTGGTGTGAACGTCTCTGAAGACTTTATCTCCAGATGATTCACTTTTGGAGCTGATCGGTCAGAAGTCTATTAACATATTAGTTCAACTAGAATCAACGCCTGATTAGATTTCAGAGGTCAAAGGTCAGAGGTGAACCGCTGCAGTGTCCGTCCCTCCAGCGGTTCACCTCTGACCTTTGACCTCTGAAATCTAATCAGTTCAACCTTGAGTCCAAGAGACGACAGATCAGATGTGAAGAAACTCCCTGGAGGCAGTTATCAGGTTCACGAGGCTCAACACATGAAACTTTTACGACCAATAAAATTATTAGAGACACGATCTGAAGCTAAACTCCACGAACCAATCGCTGGTCGTCATGTGGCGTAAACGATGTCATGATGGCGTAAACGATGTCATGATGGCGTAAACGATGTCATGATGGCGTAAACGATGTCATGATGGCGTAAACGATGTCATGATGGCGTAAACGATGTCATGATGGCGTAAACGATGTCATGATGGCGTAAACGATGTCATGATGGCGTAAACGATGTCATGATGGCGTAAACGATGTCATGATGGCGTAAACGATGTCATGATGGCGTAAACGATGTCATGAAGGCGTAAACGATGTCATGATGGCGTAAACGATGTCATGATGGCGTCATTACAATATAAATATATTTGCATTGTTCGAGGTTTATACAGCGTGAAATTAGTTTCAGTTTTAATCTCACTGTTGTTACAACCTCCAGATTAATGACACCGCTGCTCTGTGTGTGTGTGAGTGTGTTTGTGAGTGTGTGTGAGTGTGTGTGGGTGTGTGTGTATTAATGACTGTTTGCTCTGCTGATTCTAGATCAGTGTTGTTTTTACAGCTTGTTGAGAATCAATTAACGCTGCTTCGACTAATCTGAACCAACTGACGCTTTGTTTACAGTCTGTCTCAGTTTGTTGACCCGCGGCCATGTTGCCGTGTCCGTCACTTTGTTGACGACAGCGTCATGGCAACAGAAAAAAAACCACAAAAAAAACCAAGGTTACAATAAATAAACGAGAATCGTTCCTCAGTCAAACCACAGTGACTCAGACGTTCACCTCCTCAGAGAGAGTTCAGGCCACGCATCATTACTGCCTCTTTATCCTCTTTTTATTGCCCCCCCCCTCTTCTCTCCCCCTCAGCTCTTCAGCCAACCAACCCTCCCTCTCTCCCTCCCTCCCTCTCTCTCCCTCCTCACCCTCCAGGCTTGTCCTTCCTCCCTCTCTGCGTTCTGGGCCTCCGTCGGGTTCTGGATGACCCGTCCTCCAGCCTTCCCTGAGAAGTCCATGGCCACCAGGCTGGCCTCCGACTTTGACTGCACGCACACACACACACACACACACACACACACACACACACACACACACACACACACACAGTTAAGACATGATTTCCCAGCATCCTCCTCTTCGTGTAATCTATTACGATGATATTTGACAAACTCACATTATTTTCCGTCAGGTTTGATCCTTCCACAATTTGTGGAGCCGACTTCGACAGCTGGTAGTTACACTG